CGAAGCCCCTGGCTCCCTCCTCTAGCTGGGGGAAAGCCCGGAGGGCAGCCCCTCCTCCACACCGCTGGAGCGTCCGGGGTGGCCAAGGTCGCCACCGCCAGGGGTCGGGCTGCGGGGGTGGGGCCGCAGAGAGGGTGGGGGCGGGTGTTCTGCTGAGCTGCATTTTCTCACGTTTGCAGCGGCGAAACTTCTCTGCGGGTTCTGGCGCTTGGGGCAGTGGCCCCGCAACGACTGCCCGGGCTGCGGGTAGGGCAGGAGAGCAGAGAACGTCCAGGCAAGTCTCTTGGGCACGGATTGGGCCGTGGAGACTCAACTCTTTTCCCCGATTACCTTATTGCAGGACAGGCCTAGTATGCTTCCGTAGGGAGATCTCTCCTTTGGGTCAACCTGGGCCCTCAGGCTTCTGGAACTCTAGGCTACGTGGGGGTGACTTGAAGGAAAACTTCTAAAATGCAGGTTCGGTGCCAGATTGGGAATGCACCTCGAGGGGAGCTGTAGGTCTCTCTCACCAACTTCTTCCTCACCTTACTCGCTTCCCTTTTCTACTCCAGTTCTCTCCAGTTCTGAAGACTGTTATTTCATCAAATTAAAAAAAAAAAAAAAAAAGAGGAAAGGGGAAAAAAGAGGCCTTGTAAGGAAGGAAAATTGTCCAGGCATGTCCTCCACTTCAGCCTTACACATCTCCTTCCTTAGGCTAGCCCAGCCCCCAAGCCTTTCTGCTTAGGATTTCCTTCCTTCTTGATGCGTGTGGGTTCAAGCTGTGTCTTCCCCTTCTAATTCCTCCCACCCCTCCTTTCTTTAGGACTGCAAATGGGTTTTTTTCATAGGAGAGTTAGAAGAGGGAAGGGGAAAGCATTCTAAGAGGACCGCCAGCTGTGGCTGTTGGAGGCATCTCAGCCTGCTGAGTGGTGGTTGCACTTGGGCTGAAGTTCCAAAATTGTGCTCATGTTGTTCTTAATATATCTAAATTAATCCCCTGTTTCCTTCTTTCTGGAACTTCATCATTTTTCTTTGGTGGCAGAGCCTTCAGAAACAGTAAAGCCGAAGATCTTGAAAGAATAGAAACGTTTGTTTTCTATTTTATTTGCATTCAGTTGGCATATATTGGTTATAAGGACATGAAGGGCAGTGAACAAAAAGCAGCCTCTGTCTTTAGGGAGCTTCCAGTCTTTAGATTCCTAGAACACAAAGTCGATTACTCAAATAAAGATCGGTATGCTTTGAGTAACCAGAAGAGGCTTTTAAAAAGCATTATTATCATTTCAGATATTAGCTTTCTCCATGTGTGCCACTTGAAGGCAGATGACTTTTGTCATAGTGAAAGTATAGCTTGTAGTCTAGACTCTGTGGCTAGCCCAATGTATGATATCTACTAGGTGATGAGTAAATGTTTGTTGAGTGAATGAATGACTGCAAGCATATGAATTGTTTGCACCTGTGCAAATGGAAGGGCAAAGAGCATTGTGGCAGTGCTTCCAGTCTGTAGAAATTCAGTCTACCAAGCTGGTTCATGATGATTTATTCTGCATGTTCCTTTAGACCTAAGTCACATGCCTTATTTGTAAGCCCCACTTTTTACAAAGTGTGGCACTCCTTGTGGAGTTCTAGCTAGCTGATGATGGGAGCCTTGCTCACTTCACAGATGGGTAATCACCTAGGTATTGACTTGGAAACCACCTGTTCTTTGATGGAGAGTTTGTAAAACGTTCTTTTCCCCTGTCGGTGCTTTCTTCTCCTGTATAAGGAAGTAGGGTCTGCGAATTGCATCATGTCATCATAGGGAGCTGAACTGTGTTATATTACCTTGATATTTTACCGAAGTTAAAATAAATCCTGAAGACATGCAGGTTTTGGTTGGTGCCTGCCAATGGATAGATTCTGCAAAAGTGGGAATGGAAATGCATCAGCCTTCCTCCTGCAGAGCAGCCCTCTTACAGGCTTGCTGGGTGCTTGCTGAAAGTTCTGGAACACTAGGAAGACCTGAGCAACAGGAGCAAGGTCTTCATTGTGCACATCCAGCTGGGACTTCATTGATTTCCTGGCTTCTTCATGGAGCAGGTGGTTATACCCTGGTAAAAGGTTGGAATACCTCATATTATATCTTGCTGTGGGCCACAGTACAGTAAGTATTCTCATTCCTTGAAACCACTAGGGTGTTGTTTACTTTGTCCAATATAGTCCTAGAGCTTGGAAAAGATGACCTGGGAGCTGGAACATTGTGCTTCTGTGCCTCTTCTCTCTTCCCACCATGAGGAGTTTAGGTTGCCTTACTTTCAGTTTTCCATCTGCCTTAGTGAGCTGAATAGGACTCTGGCAATCTAATCTGTTAGGCTTTGCAAGGGAAGGAAGCAAATCAAATATTATAGTGTGACAGCCTATGGGAAGAAGAGAATCCTAACCCTGCCCAATATAAGCCCATCATTGAGGCAGGGAATTGGACTGGGTGGGGAGATAGTGCGGCTGAGAGGTGGGAAGGATGTGGTCCCTTCCTTCCCGTTGTGAAGAGGCCTGTGCATGGTGCATTGGGACTCTTAATTGGAAGACTCCCCTTTCACCTTTATTCTAAATCTTGAGTTACTCTGTTCTCCCCTCCTCTGGTCCCTTCTGTTAAACTTGTCCAATCTTTTGGGCTCTATAACTTCTTTCTGAAAACTCCTTCCCTGCCTTGGCCTCCATTGATTGAGTGACTTGCAGAGGATTAAAGGCCGGATTGGGCTTTCTCACCATGGAAGTCCCAGCCCTACTAGTGCGGGAGCTCCTGACACTGCCCAGTGTGGGCAAAAGGCTTTCAGGTTTGGGCTTGTAGTGTGCCTTTCTGCCCATAGAGTCTGGCAAGCTGAGATAAAGAGAGTGGGAAGCTAGGTCTGCTTGTCCTTAATGCTCCTGGGAAACATTACAGTTAAAATGCAAAAGCTGATACTGCCCGTTCCATCAGCTTAAGACTCAAATTTGACCATTCACTTGCAAAGTGGCTCTCTGCTTTTGCGATGCTCAGAGCTGGAATCATCTGGGTTCTGTTAACTTTCAGGGTAGCCTGTCCAAAGTGGAGTCTGTGGATCTCTTGGATTTTTTTTTTAAACCTCTTAGAGAATTTTAGAGATGTAAAATATGATGGTTCTTGGAGCAGAGGCAAGAGTAAGTGAAATTTATGCCTTTCCTTGTGAGGGATCCCAGTGTCACAGCCTTTCCGTTGATATTTGCTTATTGATATTTGAGGAGTAGAGATGGCCGCTGCAGATGCCTGCTCTATATTGAGCAGCTTTGTTATAGTCATAATCATATACTACTTGTTAGGTACCACCCACCCACTCAACCACCCCTCCCCCTACACACACCTTAACAACATTTGCCCAGTGCTTACTCTTTACCAGATCTCCTGTTAAGTACTTTTCACACATTATTTCATTTAATCCTCACAGCAATCTTTGAAGTAGGTACAGTGATTCTCCCCATTTTGCAAATGAGAAGATTAGAAGAGTTCAAGCGCCTGCCTGATTCTACAACCCATGCTCTTTCACTTCACTGTACAACATCGATGGGTAACTGAAATCAGCATGCCCGTTTTCATGGTCGTCTTCTTGCAAGAGTTTCATCAAAAGCACTCGTACCGATTACTGTCACCTGCACATCTTCCTTGTCACTTCCGGCCCCTCCTCTTTCC